AAACAACTCTTATGCTTAAAATTTTTAATGTAACTGCTCAATAACTAATAAAACCTACATAAGGGCTTCAGCTCACAATCAACTTCTGATAATAACTTAGACACTGAATAGTATTCTCAATCATTGGGGACAGGTTTTATCTTAATTTCTTCATGATATATTTCATTACTCTCCCAGATTACACTTCTGCATTTCATGCAGAAATCCACAGACTAGACCATATTTACTGGACTATTCAAAGACTAGACCATATTTACTGGACTAGTAAATTGCCTGTCTTCACCAATCATAGTTCGGATGAACTGCAGACTGTAGGACCAAATAATCTTGACCTCTAAGTGAATGATTAGGGGTACGTACATACAGTTCTTTCTTTTTTTCTTTTTGGAGAGGTTTTTGCTACAGGGTGCATTCTCTTTATAATGAGCATATTTTACTTTTATGTTAATTTATTTTTGACAAATTTTTTTCTTTTTTCTTTTTTTTTTCTTTTTTTGGAGAGGTTTTTGCTACAGGGCGCATACGCTCACCAGACAGACAGACAGAGAGAGAGAAAGACAGAAAGCGAGAAATCACCCCCCCCCGGGGGGGTGGTCACGCCGCAATCCCTTCTCCATTCTCCTCTCGCGATCCTGGGCACGCATGCACACGAACCTAGTGTGAGTGGGTGTGAGTTGACACCACCAGGTCCGGGACTCAAACCGTGGTCGACCACATGGGAGTCCAGCAACATAGCCATTACACTAACTGCTGGTCCCCGTACACACATTTCTAACATAAATGGCTCTCATTTTCTTTATAGTGACTCTGCAGAAATAAACGATTTAGAGCCCTCATATAGAAAACCAGAATGGTATAGTGGTGGAAAAACTATGAGTCTGGGTCAGATAGACCTCTGTTCGAATATCACTTCCACACCTGATAGCTGTGATCCTGAGAAAAGTACTTCCATCACTAGGCTCTGGTACCCTCATTTAGAAAATGGAGATAACCACTATGGGTAACACGCAGAAAGAAAAGCAAGGCAGCCCCAATCTGGAATTGCTTTCAGAGTATAAGATTAGGAAGAATCATGTTATAACGGCTGTCAGGCCAGCCAAAGAAATAACATAAACCAAGCACAAGTTGCAAATGTTTGAAGAGTTCTGAGACCTAGCCCCAAACAAGGTGATTTGGGTTTGGACTCGGGAAAAGCACAGCTGAAGCTATAAAAAAGAAGCCTTACATGAAATCAAGTACAGTAGGCCTCTGTTATGGATAGGGAAATATGTTCCAAGACCCACAGTAGATGCTTAAAGTCGCAGGTACTACCAAACCCTACACATATTATGTTTGTTCCTATACCTACATACCTGTGATGGAGTTTAATTTATATTGGGCACAGTAAAAGATGAATAATAATAACTAATAAAAATAGAATAATTATAACAACACACTGTAATAAAAATCATGTAAGTGTGGTCTCTCTCTCTTAATTTCTTATAGTACTATACCTATTTTCAGATTGTGGTTAACTAGGAATAACTAAAACCACAGAAAGAAAAACTGTGAATAAGGAGTAGACTACTGAATCATCAAAACTGAACCAAAAATGTGCTATACAGTTTTTAAAAGACTAAAAGGAAAATACATAGTCCTACATAGTCATAAAAGATTTTTCTGGGTCAGCAGATGATGTAGCAGTTTTGTCACTGGACTCCCACAGTTTGAGTCCCAGACATGGGAGATTAAAACTTACGCCGGGTGCGTGTGTGTGCGTGCCCAAGACCCCCGAGGAGAATGGAGGAGAAGGGATTGCGGCATAGCCATCTCCCCCTAGGGGTGATTTCTCACTTTCCCTCTCTCTCTCTCTCTCCAACAAGCACACACACCCTAAGGCAAAGACTTCTGAAAAAAAGGTTTTTCCTATAAAAGGAAAGCCCTAGTTAGTCTTTTGTTGAAATACCTTCTATTACTGTTCAGGGCAAAGATTACCTGACCCATTAACATACACATCTGGTCAACAGGAAAGCATAGGACTAGAGTGACATAAATATCATCTTTTAATATCTCACTTCTTTTTGCTTTGGGGTCCTATGCTCACCAAGTGTCTTTCCATTTATTCTATTCTATTTATATTTGCTTCCTCATATATCTTTATTACAGAAAGCTGTGCTGACCAAGTGACATGAAGGAGTGGTCCACTGGGCACTTCTATCTTTCTATATGTATTAATAAATTAGTATTCTGGTTAATGATTCGATCCATGGGCATTTGGTTAGTATGAATCCATCTCCCTTTGGCACACTCACAGAACTGAAATTCTGAAGCAATACTTTAAAAATTGGAAAAAACTACTATTGCTAACTATGTAAGAAAATAGCAGTTCCTCAAAGTCTAGTAACTCCTCTAGAAAAGAATTTGGCAATGTGTTATCAAAGTGTGTATGTTCTTTTGCCTAAATAATCCTATTTCTAGGAATTTAACTCTAGGAGATAATCACACAAGTAGAAAGGTGAGGATGTTCATTAAAGCATTGTTTATAATAATTAAAAATTAAACTTAGGGACCAGCAGTTAGTGTAATGGCTATGTCACTGGACTCCCATGTAGCCGACCATGGTTCGCGTCCTGGACCCGGTGGCTTAAAACTCACGCTGGGCACATGTGCGTGCGTGCCCAAGATCCCAAGAGGAGAATGGAGGAGAAGGGATTGTGGCGTGGCCATCCCCCCTGGGGGGTGATTTCTCGCTTTCTGTCTCTCTCTGTCTGTCTGGCGAGTGCACGTGCCCTATAGCAAAAACCTCTCCAAAAAAATAAATAAAAATTAAAATTAAACTTAAACATAATGTTTTGTCTTCTTTTCATCAATAGGGCACTAAATAAGTCAACTTATGGCTTAATGTATAAGTCAATAAAAATATACTATGCAATCCATAAAAAGAAAGTAACTCTATATTTATTGACTTTGGAGTACTGTCATGAAAAAATAGCCATGACATACACATTAAGTAAAAATAGCACTTGAGATAGAATCCCATTTGTACAAAACCATATACCTCTCAGTACCACATGAAGTGTTTCACTTCGTACAAACATATGGTTCCGTGAGTTCCTCCACGATCTATGAAATGCTGCATATTAGACTCATCGCTTGGAAAATCACAATGTTCCTTAACATAGTGAAATCTTTTTTTTTTTTTGAGAGGTTTTTGCTATAGGGCACGTGCGCTCGCCAGACAGACAGAGAGAGACATAGAGACAGAAAGCGAGAAATCACCCCCCAAGGGAGATGGTCACCCTGCAATCCCTTCTCCTCCATTCTCCTCTTGGGATCTTGGGCACACATGCACACGCGCCCAGTGTGAGTTTTAAGCCACCAGGTCCAAGATGCGAACCGCGGTCGAGTACGTGGGAGTCCAGCGACATAGCCTGAGGAAAACTGCTGGTTCCCCATAGTGAAATCTTAAAGCCATTGTTTTAACTTTGTTTGAATTAGAATTACTCAAAATATGCTCATTATAGAATTGTTTTTCACATAATACTGTGTCGTCAGAAAAGTCATGACTCATTTTTGCATAGAAAAATACGTCATGATTTTCCCAACGACCTAATGTTTGCTATGGTTTAGTAATGGTTTGCACCCCAAAGGTTTATGTTTTTGATGTGGTCCTTAATATAACAATGGCATTAGGAGGTCTTTAGAACTTCAAGACAAAGCCCTGCCTTCAATATGAGTGGGTACCATCCAATCATGAGCCAAATAAACCTCTGTTTGCTATAAATCATCTGGTTTCAGGAATTTCTGCATAGCAACACAATAATGAACTAACACAATATTTTTTAAAATACCAAACAAAAATCAATAAATAAGAATAAAATCAAATATGACACAACTAATTAGCTGAAAATCCTCTGGGAAATAGGGCAAGAAAGAATTAAAAGAATATTCACTACAATGTTTATAATATATCTAGCTGTACTTTTTTATTTTACCAAAAATATACAACCATCTTTTTATTTTTTCAAAAAAAAGCTATTTATGAAAGAAAAATATTCTAGACATACAAAGAATGATAAATGCCATATATTGAGAATATATTCTATGTTAGGAACCATGCTGAGGACTTTACATATTTTGAAAATTAAGATTAAATAATATGGGGGCCAGCAGATGGCATGGTGGTTGAGGAACTGGACTCCCACATGGCTGACCATGGTTCAAGACCCAAACCTGGCAGCTTGCTTTCTCACTTTCCTTTTCTGTCTGTCTCTCTCTAGTCAAAATTGAAGAACAATGATAATAAATAAAATTTAAAATAATCTTTAAAAAAGATTAAATAATATAAGAAGAAACTGAGACTTGGAGATTGTGTTCATACATAACTCACACAGCTAGTAAGAGGCCTAACCTTATTTTGAATCACAGGTGAGTATGACTCTAATGCTTCTGTTCTTTTCACTATGCTACACCATGTCTCTTCTACCAAATCTTCTTCCACTAAGGACCCTGCTAAGCAGCCAGTCAGCCTGCCACCCCAGACACTTCCCCTCTGGCTTCCCTTGTATCACTTTCAAACCTCAGTATGAAGTAAGAGGAAGTAGAGAACATGGCACAGTATGTGAAATGTAGGTGATTTAATATGATAATTCCTTTTTTTCTTAAAGAATTATTTTATTTAACTTTATTTATTTATTTTATTTTGATCAGAGAGGGACAGAGTGAGAGAGAGAGAGGGAAAGTGAGAAAGCAAGGCACCAGGTCTGGGACTCAAACCAAGGTCAGCCATGTAGGAGTCCAGAGCTCTTAACTGCCACGTCACCTGCCGGCCCCATAAAAAGATAATTCCTTTAATGATTATCCATTGGATTGTTTGAAGAGAAAGAACTGACCTGCTGTCTTCGGCTCTGAGTTGTGTTATACAACTTTAAACTGATGACAATTTAGGCTTTAACGATAAGTATATGGTATTTATATACTTGATATAAGAAATAATTAAGATGATGGTATAGAATACTTACTTCAAATTTTACAGAGTAAGTGTAGGTCACATTCAACTTATCTGTGTATTCTTTAGGAATTTCCATAGGGGGTCCATCACAAGTTAGGTGGTTTTCATCTGAATGCTTATAGCTAATAGAAGGAAAAAAAAAAAAGAAGGGAAGGGAATTTTTATATGAAATTGACATTGTAAAATTTCCAATTCTTGGCTATTCAGGCATGTAATAGCAGACTGAAAAAAATAGGCCTCCCATTATATTCTGCACTTATAGCTCTTTATGATTTAAAATTCTTTTGCTTTTAAATGTCCCCAACACTCACATAAGACTCAACATACTATCTAAAACTGAATGGTTAAGAACTTTCCCTTTGCCTGTGGATAGAAAGAGGAAAAAAAAAAAACAATCTCCTATCAGTGAGTGGTTTTATTTTTCGCCTCTATCTCATCCCTTTTCAATATTATAAATAACCTATCTCATAACCTTAGCTGTAGAGCTAGAGAATTAAATAGATGAAGCAGAAATCATATTTTTAAGTATCCATAGATTTGAGGGCCTACTGTTTGTAAAGTGCCATGCTTAACAATGAAGGATGTCAAGAGTATAATCTACATGTACTTTTTGGATCTATAAAAGAGAATAATTATTTGAAGTAGAAAATGGAAAGAAAAACTAGAGAAGTTTGAAATTAGGCAGAACTGATGGAGCTAGCAAATGCCTGGTCAGAGATAAGGAGACTCTCTAAGCACTCAAAAAGTAACAGAGGAACAAAGGGGAGATAAGAGAGACATCAAAAGGAGAAACAGTACTGTTTCCCTTTTGACTGATTTACTCAACATACAATTAATCCCTTGGCTTTTGTCTAAAGAATAATATGCAATCCTTATGGGATTGTTTTCTATACAGGTATGAGTACAATAAACTCATTCACTCACAACTGTGATGGTTATCCATGTGTACCTCTTTCTATTCATTTTTGTAACCCTCATGTCTAGTACATAATGTGCTTTTGTGTTTGTAGAATTAATGCATTCTATTTAGAGACAGAATACATTTTAAAAGTTACAAATTTAATAAATAACAATTGCTAAGACTAAAGATAAAAAGTTAGCTCTAGAGGCAGGCAGGTCGTATGGTATCTGGGGTGCTGGACTCACATGGCTGACCGGTTCAAGTCCTGGACTTGGTGGCTTGCTTTCTCACTGTCTGTCTCTCTCTGTCTGTCTCTCTGGTCAAATTAAAAAATAATAACTAAAATTGGGGCCAGTTGGTAGTATGGTGTTTAGGGCTGCTGGACTCCCTCCCACATGGCTAACTATGGTTCGAGTCCCAGGCCTGGTGGCTTGCTTTCTCACTTTCTCTCTCTCACTCACTTACTCTGTTCCTGTCTGGTAAAATTAAGTAAATAAATAAATAAATAAAGGTAAATGAATAATTTTTTAAAAAATAATAATAGCTAAAATTAAAAATGATTATTTTTTAAAAGTTATCAATAAAGAAAACAATTAAATTACTACACAATAATCTATACCAAGGTTTATGTTCTCAGTATAGGCCTTGAACCCAATACAGAAACTGTCTGTGTCTCATCTGAGAGAAATTATACAAGAAAAACTGTCTCAAGAGGTCTAACCAAAATAGAATTCCTGTTTTACCTTGTTGGGGGGAGGGGTGTCTCTTTTTCTATCTTTCTGTGTATCTCTCTATCACGAAATAAATAAACTTTTTAAAATTTCTAGGTATTTTGGGCCCAGCACATGGCATCACAGTTACGTCATTGGACTCCCACATAGTCTACTGCAGTTTGAGTCCCGGACTGATGGCTTAAAGCTTGCACTGGGCACATGTGCATCCATGCCCAAAATCCCGAGAAGAGAATGGACGAGAAAGAACTGAGATGTGGCCATCCCCCCTGGGAGGGAGGTGATTTCTCACTTTTTGTTTCTCTGTCTCTCCAGCAAGCACACATGTCCTATAGCAAAAATCTCTCTCAAAAAAAAAAAATGTCTAGGTATTTTAAAGGAAAAAGATGATGAACTACAAAAACAACCAGAAAACACAACTGTAGGACTAGAAAACAGTAAGATTTAATTCACTTTTAAAGTTTATTATTTCAATAGGAGACAGAGAGGCAGACAAACAGGGACTTCTGACAGATTCTTACCATCCACAATCCTCCCCCAAGCCCTCCAGCCAGAAATGATCACTGTGTGCTTATGTGCATGCCCAGCATGTTCAGGTTGACCCAGGATCCAACCCAAGCCCTTCCCATACGGCTTCACTATTGTGTAGCAGTACCCTACCACCTGTGCCACTGCAGCTGGGCCTAGTTTTAACTCACTTCTATGACCATGAGTAGATTATCTAATTCTGTAAAATGTGAGTTATAACACAGTCCTTGTCTCCAGAAGGCCCACATGAACAACCTTTACAGTGATTAGATAAATGTTTTAGTGTATGCACACGTAAGATATTACTATGGGCAGTGAAGAATATGCAGAATGCTAAACCACTATTTTCTTGCCTTTTTTCTTCCCTCTGAGCCTGAGAATATGAGATGTGACCATAAAGCCTTAAATGTGATTTGCATGTAACTGGTGAAATTAGCTTCCTGTATGATCACACTTTATATGTTTAGTGCTTTTCTGCTCAAATCACTTCAAATGCTAACAGTCATCCTGAGTCAGACTTCATGTCCATGATCCTAAAATTCTATTTCTAGGTATTAGAAGGGACATACATAAAAAAGCACGGGTGATTGTCCTTGAGAATGGCATTTCCTGACATTGCTTAGATATTTGTACTCTTGTTCTTCATAAATATGCCCTAATACTTTCCATTCCTCTTGTACGTGCTGTTTACAACACCTTGTGGAGATAAATAAGCTTCAAAATGTTTTTAACATAGTCATTAATTTCAAAAGAATATCCTTTTACTGAGATAAAATAAAATTAGAAATTTCTAATCATAAGAGAAATGCAAGTTAATGCCACAATGAGTTATCTTCTCACTCCTGCTAGGATGGCCATTATCAAACAGACAAGAGATAAGCAGGTATTGGCAAGGATGTGGAGAAAACAGAATCCTTGTACACTGCTGTTGAGAATGTAGTGAATGTAGCCATTATGGAAAACAGTATAGGAGTGCCTCAAAAAGTTAAAAATAGAACTACTATATGATCCAGCAATCCTCTTTCTGGGTAGATATCAAAAAGAAACAAAATTAGTATCATAAAGCAGTATCTGTGTAAATTGCAACATTATTCACAATAGTCAAGATACAGAAGCAGCCTAACAGTCTATTGTCAGATGAATGATAAAGCAATTGTGGTATATACGCACAATGAAATTCTATTCAGCCTTTAAAAAGGAAGATACTGCCATTAGCAATGATGTAAATGAACTAGAGGACATTATGTAAGTGAAAGAAGCTAGACACTATCACACTGATATATGAAAAAAATGTTGAATACAGGCATAGTGGTTAGGGCACTGGACTCCCACATGGTCAGCCGTGGTTCAAGTCCCGGACCTGGTGGCTTTCCCTCTCTCTCTCTTTCTCTCTCTTTCTCTCTCTCGCACATGTACCCTATAGCAAATGTAAAATAACAATAAAATTAAATAAATTATTATTTTTCTTAAATGTTGACTACATAGAAACAGTAGAATGGTGTTAAGTATGATCACACAGGAAGCTAATCTCACCAGCTATATGAAAATTGCACTTACGCTGGATATCTAATTGTATGTCCTCTATGAACAGGGTCATCCAGGCTCTTCCTACATATGTCCAGGGAAAAAGTACTCATAGTTCTCAAGGTTGCTTATTTAACCATTCCAGGGCTCTGATCCTTAGCAAATTCTTCCTTATACTTAGCTGATACCTGCCTAATAAACTCTACTAGTGTAGATCTGTCCTTTGAAGGAACACAAAATCTAAATCTAACCTCTTTGTCATATGGGAGCAACTAAATGAAGACAGTTGGGATACCCTAAATATGTCTATTTTCTTACAGACCTGTCGATTCTTTTTCACATTATATGGTACCCAAATGCTTACTATAGATAAAGAGAGTAAAATTTCCTTTTTTATTTTCAAAATGTATGTCTAAAATTATGTCTCACAGTTATCCTAAAACCAAAAATTCCAGTTGAGAATTTTCCTTTTTTTCATTATTCAATCAAGATATAATCAAGGATACAAATGAAAAATACATGACAAATGAACAATAAACTTAAAATTATTGGGATGAAAAGATATGTCATTATGCATACTTTAATTCTAATGATAATTAAACCAATTTGTGAAATACCCTGCTGTACAACAGGATTTAGTTAATTTCGTAATGAACATGTTCTTTTCTTTTCACATTATTTCATCTGACAAATGTTTCCTCCCTTTGTAACTCTAGATGAGAATTTCTATATTTTGAGTTAATTTTTTTTAGAATTATTTATTTTATTTTATTTATTCATTCCTTTTATTTACTTATTTATTTTAATTTGATCAGAAAGACATAGAGAGAGAGAGTGAAAGAGGGAAAGTGAGAAAGCACGCCACCAGGTCTGAAACTCGAACCGTGGTTGGCCATGTGGGAATCCAGCGCCCCCATCCACCACACCACTTGCCAGCCCCATTGAGTTAATTTTTCAATCATTGGGGCTAGGAGCTAGGGACCAGCAAGTGGCATAGTGGTTATGGTACTGGACTCCCATATGACTGACCATGGTTTGCGTCCCAGATCTGGCAACTTACTTTCCCTCTCTCTATCTCTCTGTCTCTCTCTGGTGAGTAAACATGATCTAGAGCAAATTAAAATTATTTATTTTTTTAGAGGTTTTTGCTATAGGGCACATGCGCTCACCAGACAGACAGAGACAGAGAGACAGAAAGTGAGAAATCATCCCCCAGGGGGGATGGCCATGCCTCAATCCCTTCTCCTCCATTCTCCTCTCGGGATCTTGGGTGCGCATGCACACATGCCCAGCTTGAGTTTTAAGCCACCGGATCCGGGACGCGAACCGCGGTCGACTACATAGGAGTCCAGCAACATAGCTATTACGCTAACTACTGGTCCCAAAATAATTGTTTTAAATAATAAATAAAATTAAATTAATATTTTTTTAAATCATCATGGCTAATTAAAAAGAAATTCTGTAATTACCTTTTGGGGTCAAGTCTAGCAGTAACTAATTTTGCAATATTCTGATCTGTATCATCCTCCCTGTGGTATGTAATAGTAATGTCAACATGGTTGAAGAGGTAGAAGGTATTCTTTTTGTAGAGTTCAGGCTGCAAAAAGATAAATAAACGTTAAAGTATGGTCTCCTAGAAACTGAAAAATATAAAATCTGATTACAAAATAAAAATGAGAAATATTAATTCTAAGAAAGTTAAATGATCAATTAAGTATTATAAAGAATAAATATATTGTTAAAATATTAAAATCGTAGACCTAAGCATTTGACTGAAATTTAAGATAGTTAATTCTTTATTATACTTAATTGATCATTTAGTTGGAAAACTAAAATTGGTTAATGGATGTATTTTTCTGGGTTTTAATTACATAAAACTGTGGAGTAAGACAACTTAATAAAATGTTATCTGTATATAAGATCTTTTTTTCTTTTGCTATAGGGCACGTGCACTCTCCAGAAAGACAGAGAGAAAAAGAGAGACATCCCCCTCCAAGGGAAGATGGCCACGCCTCAATCCCTTCTCCTCTATTCTCCTCTCGGGATCTTAAGCATGCATGCACACGTGCCCGGCGTGAGTTTAAGCCACCGGGGTCCGGGACTCGAACCGCGGTCAATTACATGGGAGTCCAGTGACATCGCCATTATGCCAACTGCTGATCCCTGTATATAAGATCTAAGAATATTGGAGCTGGCAGGTGGCATGGTGGTTAAGGGAGCTGGACTCCCACATGGCTGACCAAGGTTCAAGTCCTGGACCTGGAGGCTTGCTTTCTCGCTTTCCCTCTCTCTCTCTCGCTATGTCCCTCTCTGGTCAAATTGAAATAAATAAGTGAACCAATAAAGTTAAACAAAAAATAATTCTTTAAAAAAAAGAATATCAAGAGTTTAGCCTTTATGTTAAAAGTAATGCAACAAGCAAAAATAGGAAGAAATGTTTCAGAATGTTAACAGTGGTGTCTCTGGGTGGTAAGTTATAGTCAATATGATTTTTCTGCAGTTTCTTTAAAAAAAAAAAAACATTACACCAGCAGATGGTGTAATGGTTATATTGCTGGACTCCCACATGGTTCACTGTGGTTCAAGTTCCAGACTGGTGGTTTGAAACTCACACTGGGCCCGTGCACATGCATGCCCAAAATCCTAAGAGGAAAATGGAGGAGAAGGGATTGCAGTGTGGCCATCCCCCCAAGGATTAATTTCTCACTTTCTGTCTCTCCCTGCCTTTCTGGTGAGCGCACATACCCTATACCAAAAACATCTCTTAAGAAAAAATAATAGGGGCCAGCACGTGGCATGGCAGTTAAGGCACTGGACTCCCATGTGGTCGACCATGGTTCAAGACTGAACGTGGCAGCTTGAAACTCAAGTATGTGTGTGTGCATGCCCAAAACTCTGAGAGGAGTGCAGAGGAGAAGGGATTGCAGCATGGCCATTCCCCTTGGGGGATGATCTCTTGCTTTCTGTCTCTCTGTCTCTCCAGTGAGTACACATGCCATATAGTAAAAACTCAAAAAAATAAAATAAAACATTTTTTAAAACATTTATTTGTATATTTATTTGTTGTGATTTTCAAGCCACCAGGTCCAGGACTTGAACCACATTCATCCATATGGAAATCGAGCACTTCAACCACTATGCCACCTGCTGGCCTCCTGCAGTTTCTTATTACTTTCAGTACTTCCCAATTTTTCATAATGAGGTTATATTTACATTTATAATTAGAAGCATTTTGTAGACAAAAAGTAAATTTAACTGTTCCTATCAGTCAAGTGTTCATGAGTTCACTCCCTAACAGCCACAACTCTGAAGATAATCATCCAAATTTCCTAGATCAATACCTTCCTTTTTTCAGTTTACATATTTATTTCTTCAGAGAGAGAAACACCTCCAACAGGATCCTTATACCATGATCCACCCTCAGCTGCAGCCAGGCCACATCACAACCAGACACAGAGGTGCCAGTTGCATTACTCCTATACCACTATCTGATGTCTCAGTGTTTATTAAATTTGAAAATTCATACAAATCACTCAGGCATCTAGTTAAAGTGCAGATTCTGGATACCAGCAAATGGTGTGGTGGTTGAGACACTGGACTCCCACATGGCTGACTGCAGTTCAAGTCCCAGACCTGGTGGCTTGCTTTTTCACTTTCCCCCTCTCTCTCTTTCTCTCCTCGTCTCTCTCTGGTCAAGTTAAAGAATAATAATAATAATAATAATAAATTAAATTAATCTTAAGAAAAGATTTTTTTAAAAAAGGCAGATTCTGATTCACTAGATCTAGGGTAAAGCCTGAGGTTCTGCATGCCTAACAAGCTCCCAAATGCTGTCACTGCTCCTGGTCCTGGAGAGCACTGTCTGCAATTGCAAAATATCTAGAAACAACAAAAATGTCTATTAATCTAGTTCAATAAAGTATGGTTTAGCCATATGAAGGAATAAACTATGGCTAGGAGATTTGCACATATCGGTATGCAGAATGTCCCTGACTGATATATACTATTAGAGAGAAGCAGCACAGCATAGTGGTTAAGGATAGGACCTCCACAGCCCATATGCCCAGGTTCGAAGCTTAGGTACGTCTGGTACTAGCTGGTATGACCCTGGCCACGTTGTAACCTCTCTGTATCTTGGTTTCTGTACGTATAATGTAGAGATCATGACAGTACTTACCGTACAGGGGGCTATGAAGATTAAATCAACTCATGAAAGGTAACCACAGTTTAGCATAAAGTAAGTACTTAATGTAATAAGCAAAGAGGTAACAAGGTCCTTCAGGCTCTGTACCCTGCCTGTCTCTTCAGACTCACTTCCTGCCACAGCCTCTACTCTTAACTTGCTAAATTCATAAGGGGCATTCTTTATTCTGTGTTCTTATGGACACTCTGATGTCTCTGCATCACTTATATCAAATTATAATTGGCACATTTACACATGTAAATCTTCCAGTAAACTGTGTTCCCCAACAGATCATGAAGTTAGGAACTTAGGCTCATTCATTCATTTGCTCACTCACTCACTCATTCAACAATTTATTTTTCTTTTTTTCTTTCAAGAGATTTTTGCTATAAGGCACAGAGTGAGAGAGACAGAAAGCAAGAAATCACACACACACACCCCCGGAAGGATGGCCATACCACAATCCCTTCTCCTCCATTATCCTCTTGGGATTTTGGATATGCACACACGTGAGCCCGATGTGAGTTTCAAGCTGTCGGGTCCAAGACTCGAACCACAGTCAACCATGTGGGAGTGTAACGACGTAACCATTATGCCATCTGCTGGTCTCCTCAACAAATATTTTTGAACATTCCCTATGTGCCAGACACTGCTTTAGAGCTGAGACCTTATGGGTGTTCGAAAAATACAACAGGTAGTTTGGTATAGTATAAAGGAAACAGAATTAGACTTAAAAAAATTGGGTTAGAATTCAGATTTTGCCACATACAATCTCTCACATGTTAATTCATCTTTCTGGGCCTTAGTTTTCTTAGATGTATGATACTGAAAGCCCTATTATAGCCCTTGGAATGGATTAGGAGATTACTCAGTGTTAGTTCCCTTCCTTCCAGAACTTAAAATTATATTTTAAAACTTTAACTAGATTTCCAAATCCAATCT